ATTTGTTGATGTCTTTCATCGTCAAGTTATTAGGAGATAGACTGAGGCAACAGACAGATTGACAAGACACACGCAATGGGCAAGGGTAAACCAATGAACAAATACAGACAGACACTCAGACAGTTATTAATATATGGATGAACAGTCACAAAGGCACTGGTAGATAAATATATAGACGTAAATATAATCTGACAGACATACGTGCGACACAGAGTAGTGTAACTGGTAAGCACACAGTGAGTTGGAAATCATTGGTTGGCAGTTAGAGCGATTCACACTCCTTCATTCCTCTCCTGGTCACATATGATTACTGTGGGATGAATGATATACAGTACAATAATTAGTTTCCAAAGACACCCTTACAATAGTAATTTATGGCAGAGTTTCAATACCAGTAACAAAAGACGGGAATTTTCTCAGAAGATGCCTATGTAAAAATTTTTTCCCTCAGTTGAAGGTAAATTATTATTGTCACTTTATTTACTGAATTATTTATCATTTCACCATTTATCAGCTTACTAGCCATTCGGACAGTTGGTCTGGTCTTTGTTACTTAAAAACTTTAATGCTCAGTGTTAGTTGATAGTGTTCATTTGATGTCACATAGGCCTCCAGCTTTGTCACATGGACTACTCTACAGGTAAGAGAACCAGTTAAACACACTCTAGAATCCCAGATATATAGGAGGGGAACTGAACCTACTCATCATGGAGAATACAGACCTGACTTGGGCAAAGTCCTAATTATCTCTCCCTGATGTCGCAGGTGGCCGTACACAACCCTGGCGTCCCCATCTCTCAAGCTATTGAGGATGGTATCAGTTGCCCCCAGAAGCTCACTAAACACCGCAGGAAACTGGGCTGCCATCGCCTAGTCTCTGTCTCTTTGCAGGTAAGTCATTCCGGATCCCCTTGCCCGAGTCTCCACATTTGTCATTCAGTCTGTTACTGGTTAAACTATGCTTATTTAGGTGCATGATATTGCATAACAATAGCCTTTGGATGTTTATAGCACCCCAGTTTCAGTTTATACAAATTTTATTAAAACATTTTGTGCTGTCACTTTATCATTCACGCAGAGACATTACTCAGGTACCTAATTGTAATAACTAAGAAAAAAGTGGAGTGTCTCCATCTTTATCATACTACTGTAGTTGAAAACAGCAGCACAAACATACCAACATACTTATTCTATGATGGACTTATTGCTGTTATCATTTGCACACAAGGAGAAGACACTGGTAGTTGTGAGTACAGGGTGTGAAAAAGAAATAGCCAACCCTTCACTCAAAAAACAAAAACAAAGTATTTCTGCATTTGCCAATTGGCTCACTCCTGAAGGATAGTAAACTAACCTGAAGTTGACATAATAATGTTGTTATTGTGCTTCAACAGCTAGGGTCTTCTAGCGTATAAGATTAGTAATTACACTAGTCCATTAACAGTTAAAAATACTCTGATGACAACTTCAAGAGTAATATTAAAAATTAGACAAGACGGGAGGTATCTTGACAATTTATATTAAACAAATTAAATAAAAGTGAGCTTTCAAAAATAATTGTAATCAGTTGTTTGGACCAGACAGTTTAGTCCATCTTCCTCAGTAAAATGTTGCTTCACTGTTTTCCTGGATGTTATTATCTGGATTTTTGTTCGTGTTATCACCCATCCTCTCAATATAAGGGTCTGCCATGGGATGACAGGACACCAGGAGCCAAATGTTAAAGTATTACTAACCCAGCCTAGTACAGTCTGATGATGACATGGAATACTATATAGTATTAATAATTTTGTGGGTACTGTACATGTAATTCAGTTTATAACTGGGAAACTGATATCATTAAAGATATTTACAGAGTCTTCCTCTGCTACCACAGAACAGAGGAGGGCTTTGTTGTTTCCCTGATCTCTGTATCCCAAGCATCTTCAGATAGAAGATTACCTAACTTATACAGTGGTCACAATTCCTTAGATGTACTACAGTACGATCTAACAAGTTTTTGTGGCCCTTTAACTATACAGTATAGTATAATATTTAAATATGAAAAAATCCATTTAGCTGTCCTATTGTGTGACCTGGATGGCACCTCACTCAGTGCCTTGCTGGTCTAGTGTTACTGTTTAAAATGCTCAATTTTGGCTCGCTATTTTATCTTTTCAATTTTCCTCAACAGCTGCTGATACTACCTTGAACATTACCTTATACTTTTGATTCACCTTTGAATAATGGATCACACACTCAGTTTTTGTGCATATTTGGCACCAGATTTGTTTCTAGCTGTACCCAAACAAATGCCTACACACACCTGCTGTGTTTTCCATACAATTTGATATCCTTAATTTTTTATATTCAAGAAGATGCAGCACTAGTGTGAAAAATTCCTTACATCAGTATGACCTGGTTGACTTTATGAATATAATACCCAGCTATTATTGCTTGATAAACACAACTGCTTTCTAAAACACTATTTACAAAGATCTGCCCAACACAGCAAACTAATAATTATGAAGACAAGCTTATACTCTAGATATTTTAGTTCATATCAGGTGACACGCGTGTACTGTTGCAGAGGATCCACCTGATGAACCGTCCAGAGCGGCCATGTTCCGAGCATAGAACTTACAGCACCGAGGCCTGCCGTACCTCCTGCCTCTACACCCATATTCTCCACCAGTGTGGCTGCAGGTATCAAACATTATTAGAGCCTCGCTTATATATAAACTGGTTGTCTGTCTGTCCATTCATCCATCTACAAGCTTTAGCTGATGCCCTTCATAACATAGTTGTTATTCCTTGTTTATGGATGCTTTCTTTTGGGGCATTTTTGTTTTAGGATGCTATTCATTAAAAGCAGACCCTTGTTTAGAACAGCAGTAATTTTTTTTTTACTTTGGATGGTATGGAAATATTAAAAAATCTTGACATTATTTTACCTTCTTTGCCACTGGTCGACTCGCTAGCCAGTTGTGCGGTAGGCCATTTATCTATTATGAACTGTTAGCAAGTCCAGTACTGGGCATGTACACTCACTAAAAAAATATTGTGCACCTTGGCTCTGAAACCATCTGCAACGATTACTGCGACAGAAGTCATGATGAGTGTTAATCAGATTTCTTGATCAGGTGTATCATATTGTATAATCCCGTAAAGGTGCAGAATAACCTATTTGTGAATGATGGCCACAGTCAGTACATGTTAGCGAACGTAAAATCAGGTGATAAATATTACGCTTCATAGCCCATAAAACATGTTACTTCTTGAGTCACCCTACTGAGACGTACATTTTCTCGCTGCTTCAGTAATAGCGAGACGTCCGCTTTCTGTAACAAAACTAAACAAAGACTTTATTTGAAATACGTTGTAACATTCATTGCCATAATATCCTTCCTGACCACTGGGTTAGTTATACAGATCCTTTGTGAACTCTGTAATCCTTTTGCACGACACTCACAGGCTGCATATTGGGTGCACAATAAACTAGCCATTGTAAGTGGCAAAACAATATTAAATAATGTTATTTTTGGAGTTTTGTGTTTCTGGATGTACAGTGCTGAAAATAGTTCAACACATTAATTTCCAGTTACAGAGAAAAGGTGTTTTCAGCCAAAATACTACAGTTTTCCCCCCAAAAGATTAAGTATTATTATGGTCTGTTGTAATTAATTATCTGAAAGTTGACAGTTATTATTCTGTGTAACTCCTCTCCCTTCTGAACTATATAATGTTTCCCTAATGTGTCTTGAGTTTTATCTTTGCCTTCCCTTCACTTAGTTACCTACATCATGATTGCGGTATCTCTTTCAGGTTACCATATATGCAGGTTACTGGGAAGGAGTGTCATTCAAGAATTGAAATACAGAAGGTGGAGAATTTAGTGCACTACCTCTTCTTCAAGGGTAACTTCAACTATTCTATGTGTGATTGTCCTCCGGCCTGCTCCTCCACGATCTACCGTCGCAACGCAGATACTACGTGGAACAGCAACAAGTACTCCGTTATTAAGGTAAGACTTTACTCCCAAGTTAAAACACAGGTGTCGTATAATACCATTTGTCTTTGAATAATAAGAATCTTTGGTTACCAATGGGGCTATCACACTAAGCAAAATTCCTTTATTCCGAAGGTGAAGACATTGATATAGCACAGTACTGTCATACTCACGAGTCAGAATTTCTGCCAAAAAATGGTGATCTGAAGTTTTCGAAATCAACGGGATTTTATAGGGAAAATATGCGTGATTTCTAGTTTAATTAAATTATTATAATATTTAATGTTAAATTGCAAAGATAAAATATAAAAGCTCTATTAATAGTCTTCTATAAAGTTTTAAATAAATATTGGTACCAGCAAAGCAGTTGTCCTTATAATATAAATTATAGGATATATAATATAAAATAAAATAAGATAATACCATAGAAAATGGGAAGATGTTATAGAAAACATGAAATTTGTCATAAAATATGGGAATTTTCCATCATGAAACTCTTACGTTAGATTATACTGAGTATTATTATAATATATATTATACACTATTATATTATATATGCAAAAAATTAACATTTTTGCCATGTTGTAACCCCTAAACTGATAATTATAATTAATTTTAGTTTAATCTGACATCTTTAAAGGTCTATCTGGAGGGAGCACAGTATGAGGAAGTAGTGGAGTCCTATGCATACTCCACCTCCGCCCTTGTTAGCCACATCGGAGGGTTCATGGGTCTTCTCCTTGGTGCCTCCATCCTTTCCTGTCTCCAGACCTTTGAACTTCTCCTCCACAGGATCAGACATCTTCTACACAGACTCCTAAGGTTGTTCACTCAATGTAAGGTAAATACAAATTAAGATAGTCGTAAAGGTTTTTAGGTATGAATGTGTAGAATAATGTTTAATGAAATGTTCTAATTAACCAACCTACTGAAGACTATCAGTTAGTAAAAGCTGTTCCTCAAAATTCATGTTAGCTTTGCACTTACTGGTCATTGATATTAAACCAAAAACTTAGCACATAGATTTTATTTTTCACACCTTTTTATTTACAGGATAACCTAAGTCATGTCTAACTGAGACAACATAATGTGCATGAGGATCATGAAACAGGTACCAAACAGTGTACATAATTTATAAAATTTACATTATATACATTTACAGAATACAAGTACAGTATTCTGCAATTCAAATACTAAATCAAATAAATACACTCTGAAACAAATAGAGAACATCTGCCATATACAAGAACAAAAAAGCTAGTAGACTTTTTGGAATGGGCTGATGCACACACTCACGGCATGAGATGACAGTGACTGCAAACAGTAATTACCAAGTACTGCCTCTTTCCATGCCTTAAATGGATTGCCATTCTGACTTGAAATATATTTTCAATATTTGTTTATTTTTAAAGCCCTTGGTGTGACATAGTTGAACTGCAAGCAATAAAAATTATATATCTATATCCAAACATATAAATGTGAATCTTTGGTTAGAGATGCCTCTCATAAAGAGGCAATGATTATATTATAAAGGTACAGACAACAGAACAAATAATGGGAGAATTTGAGGTGCTGAAGTTGACATATCAACAGAAAGTATCAGCCTTGCATGATATTTGTGCAGAGGAAAATAGTGAGCAAGGCAATACTGTATATGGGTAACCACACAGAATGAAACAACATACAGATCACTAAGTGGAAAACACAGCTGGAAACACTAGAAGCAGCTGTGTTTGTTTGTTTGTTTGTTATATGAAATATTGGGTTTATCTACTTTTAAATATACGTATTGGCTTTCTTAATTTTGGTTACATTCTCTGTGATCTATGTTAAGTAATAATACCAACAGTAAGGCAGCATTGGCTATGGGACTTGGTAACTGATATAAACCAAAGAAATGCTCCAGTATCTGGATCATGCAGGTCCTGAATAACTGGTTGACAAGAAACTAGTTAGTCCAGGCTGGGAGAATTTGACAGGTGTTTTACACATGTCAAATTTAATATCCTGACTGACAAACTAGTAAGCCAGCTCCTACATAATTGCAGTTCTGGTCCAGCATACTCTTTTAATCCGATTCTGCATTACTTCACAAAAAAGGTTTACATCATGCTCTAAGGCCTACGAATATTGATGGTATCTGAATTGGCTTATTTGCTTTCAGTTATTAAAATGAAAGATGAATGAAGCCAGACTGAAAAGTTATAGACAATAAAAGCTATTCAAATTATTAACTTCAACATATACACAATATATGACCAGCTTACAGCTTTACTGACTTTTCTACATAATCTATGAAACTAGATGATGCACAGGGTTGAATAAAAAACTAGAAAGGTCCACACAGCATACACAAGTTTAGGCAGCATGTGATATGGAGGAAAATGGGGAACATTCATTATCAGGAGACATGTTTACAGTATTCACCATTATTCAATATCAGCAGTGGACTGATACAAAAATGTCTTCTATGTATACCAGTATTAAACACTATTCTTTAAAACATTACCGTGTCACGTACTGGCATCGCCTCGTGACAGATAATCTTTGATATGAAAAATGTGTTCACTGTTAAAGGAGTCCTTAAATAAAGCTTCCACTACAGAGTGGTTGAAAATTTGTGTTTGTCAGGTGTTAACAGGAGCTACTCTTGTAGTCACTAGTGTCCGACAACTGACTGACTTCCTGAGGGCCGAGCTGTGAGTTTATTTGTTCTCTCAGCTTCCTGCAATAGAGAGAGAGGGAGAGACTGTCATAAATACCACTGTAATGGAGTACAAAAATAATGCACTCAGTCAATATGTGAGTGTGAGGATGTGTCCATCTTCATTCCCAATGAATGACATTTCAAAAGGATTATTAAGTTTAATTATTTAGACCTTAGAAGGATCCATGTTGTTTATGAGGTCAATAACTTTGTTAAGAGTAATCACTTATGTTGGTGTACCACTGCACAATATCATGCTACTGAGGTGTTCTGCCCAGTTAAGGTGTGAAGCAGTCATGTAATTAATATTACTGTACTGTGTTTCAGATTTCTGAAAAGTCTATTAGCTACAATTTTTTCCAGATTTACTTGGAATAATATAATATAATGAAGAGTGAATTCCATCTGTGGTAATTAGTTGTGTAAAGTTCAAATCAGCACAATCCAACTACTAAATAGTAGATTCAAACAGAAGCAGTGTGATGATATACACATGGCAACTGCTTTACTGTGTGTGCACTGTATGAAAAGTAAAACCTTTGACAGTGTCACTGTGATCCCAATACTAAATGGGGTTGTGTTGTAAAAGCTCCAAGATTATAAATAATTGCATAGGTACACTTGCTCCAAAACGTACCTTTATAACACAGCAGCACAACAGACAAAGGATTTAGACAACCCTATCGAGAAAACAGGAGTCGCTGTGTTCATTTTGAAATTCATCAAACCCTTACATAAAGATGCTGTTTGGAGCAAATGTACATGTTGTGCAAACAATATACATATTTAGTTAATATCCCGTGAAGACAGAAAACACTGTGTTTATGTAGCCCGTGGAGTGATTGAGAAATTCTATTTAATGTTGCCTGCAGTTCAGGTAAACGCATCAGTTTATGGTGAGTAAAGCAATATTAAAAAGAATAATCTTCACACAATTCGTTACAATTTCATCACTTAAGAGTAAGTAACTACAAAAATATAAGTGAAATAGGTATATAGTCAACAATAAAAACATTTTAAGTTGTGCGAGTTTACAGGCCAAGTTTGGCACTGTCTGTCTGATGGATTAGCTGCTCTGTGGCAGTGGGTCACTTGGGAAATAACTAAGGTTGGGCAAGTCTAAGTGGGGTCATGGGTGGTGGTCACACAGGGTTTAACTTATTAAGAACTTCCAGAATAACACAAAAACACCAAAATCACACCTTGGAAACCCATAGTTGGCGAGTAATTAACATTGAAATTATGTAATTAAAATTTTCCAAGTGCCATTACAACACTAATTACCCAACAATTGAATCGTGGACCATAGATTTGGAATCGGCATGCTTAGGAGTACCTATAATGAGATTTTCAACAAAATCTAATTTTTGGCCAAAAATACCAGAATAAATGCCATTGTTAATACACCCCCTGTATTAGCATATGAGGAACTACAATGAAACAACCTAACAACCTTATATGCCAAGATTAACATCGGTATATGTTAGGTTGTTTCATTGTAGTTCCTCATATGCCAATATTAACAATGGCATTATTCTGGTGGGCATCTCAGAATTAAGAAAAAAGCTGTACAGTAACTCTACAAAAAATCAATGTATTCACAGACTTCTTCACTCATCTTCTGTTAAATGCCAAGAAACATTAACATATTAAAAAAAAAGAAAAAGATTACGATGGATTTGTTTCATAAATGGGAAAAAGACTGATTGTAAACTGAAAATATCGTAAGGTGGACGTGAAGATAAACTGCTTCACTGTCCGTGCTAATACAATATGAACATTACTTTTGGGTTAGGTAGGACATAAATTTTGGTGGGTTGGGCCGCAGAAAAATACCTAAATCGTAATGCAGCCCATGACTGAGGAAAGGTTGCCCATGCCTGCTTTAAACCATCAGCAACAAAGATTAATTTCAACAATACTGTACGTAAAATTGGTAACTCAACCAACAAATATTAAAACAAACATTAATACAAGTACTTATTTTAAAGTATGATTTAAGAGCTCTGCATTTGATTGCCCTAGACTGATTACTGTTACGTAAAAATTATTTAGTACGTACAGTGTATATCAATAATCATTTCAGATAATGTACCGAGTAAAGAATTTCCATAATTACTGCACCTTCTACCAAATATCATTTGTGTGGATGACTTGTATTCCCAGTTAGTTCTTTATGGCTATTAAGAATTAGTTCAAACTCCTCCACCTTCTCCAGTAAATAATGCATGCCTTGTAAATAATATTAGCAAACCAGATGTGAGAAATGTGAATTTCAGATAAATATCCAAGTGTCCAAAGCTTGTAAATGATGTACAGTAAACTCCTGAACATTTATGTGTACTGTAATTATGTCTGTCAATAACTGATTAACATAACTTTTTGGGCCAATAAATGTTAGGTCTCTGGCTCACTAGTTGGGGGGAAGGGAGGGAGATATTATTTAATAATTCAAATTTATGTTTTATTAATGAATGAGTTAATAAAACAATTGCTCCTTGTTTTTACACAAACTTGTACCATCAAGGAATTTGCATAAAAGCAAACCCCACAGATGTGAATAAAGTGGGGTTTACTGTATTGCAATTTGTACCTCATATGTTGTATCACAGTCATCAAATACCATGAATTGTTTCCAGGCACTATAAGCATCATGAATGTACTGTATATGAGGAAATATTACAAATATTCAGAGCAAGTGGAGGTCATCTAATTAGTCTGCCTAGTGACAATGAGGGGTTAGGGGAGTTAGTCAAGTTGCCCATCATCCAAGGCAAGACATGAAGCATGGTTGATGTGCTGTGCACATTAACTAGTGTAGCATTAATATTGCGAAACTTAGTATAAACATCTTAGAATATTACAATAACAGTCTTAAATTTTTTTTCCGTGAATAATCAATCATGAAAGTTAAACTTGTTCAGGAGTTTACTGTACTACAGGACTGCCATGCTCTTCTACATAGCCACAAGCAGCTTAAAAAAAAAGAAAGGAAATGTTCACAATGTTAGTGACAAAGTTAGTAACTGTGTAGCAGCCAGAATTGAAGTAGAAAGTTACCGTTTAATGGTATTTAACTATCTTTTCACTTACAGATGAACTTTTGTAATTCACTTAAAAAATCATTCTTAGCCTGAAATTTAAATATTAATAATAAGCCAAGCTCTCAAAGCAACAATTAGCAATGCCTACGGGTAAGTTAATGAAGTCTTGGGAACTCTGCGTTGTGGGTTGACTTACAACTCCCTGATCTGCTCGAGAGCCATAAGAAGTTGTGTGTTAGTTCGATCCAGTGCATTGATTCTGTCCTCCTGTCTCTGAATTACTGCATCCTTTTCTGACATCAGTTCTGACATCTTCATCTGTTCCTTTCGAAACTGTTCTTGTAGCCTAAAAGTGAAACAATACACTGGTTAAATTTCTTCTTTTATAATATTCAGACAATAACTTGTGCAGTACTTCTGAATCAAGTTAAAATGGATTCATGATATACAATAGTGCATACAATTAACATCTACGGTACATAACGTTTTACACAAATACTTGTACATAAGTTAGCTGTGTGAATGTGTACCAGAATCCTGTACAAACTGTCTTACATAAATTACAATACTAGACACACCATCTGTTTTTTATGAATGACTGCACAGGAATATTTTTATTTTATTTATGCAACTTACTTTTGAAGCAGCTCTCTCATCTGAGCTCCCTGGGCCTCTGTATCCATCACTTGCTGGGGAGGAGGGTACTGGGGACTGTGGTGATTGTGCCGGTTATGTTGGTGAGCTGATGGCTGAACTGGACTACTGCTCAAATTTGCAGAGTGGTGGTGAGCACGGGAATCATGGGCTAGGGCAGATGGAACTCCCTCAGAAGACGTTTCAGGGCCACTAGGATGTGCCTGTAAGTGTTCATCAGGGGTAACCAAATTGTGGTGCATTTCTTCCATGGCTGTACGAAGGGCAAGGATTTCTTGCTCATACTGTAGAAAGGAAAACATATGGATATTGCAGGGTACTGTATGCATAATTAAAAGGATCAATAACTCTTAAAGTTAATTAAATAAACAATAAAGTTATTTATACAATTTTAAAGACATTTTCAATATTAACACACTAACCTCATCAAGAGTTTTGGTCTCAGACGTTCGGTGATTTGTGCGTGGGGGACGCAGACGGGCAGGGGGTGGTTGTTGCTCATCACTTGAAGAGTCACTGTCGTATGGGTATCGCTGCCGTCTCCCATTGCCGACCTCTGCTGACTGGCGACGACTCATTTTTGTTCTTCGGCACTGTGCCCCCCCTCCCAGCAGATCTGATGTAGAGTGGTGGTGGTCTGGAGCTGTACTAGGTGCCACTGCTGGTTGACTCCAACCAGGACGTACACACCTTGGATTGGTTCGTGGAGCTCCAGACTTAAATGCCCTGTGCTCTAATGGTGGTGTACATGCTAGTGATGTACTATCTTCACTAGAGGAGGAGTGGGTACGTTGGGGACCACATGTTGAGGGCAAGCTAGGAGCAATTGTTGGAGCAGTTGGCAAGTCCTCTACACTATGTGCAGAACTGAGAGAGGAGCTGACTGGACTTTGCTGTAATTGAAGGTTTTGGTGAAGATGATGATGATGGTGAGCTATGCGAGCTCCACATTGTGGGACAGGTCGGGGAGAGCTGGTTGCAGCATTAAGATGATACATGGGATTGTTAAAAGCCAAAGGCGCTGCTAGTTGTGGTGGGGTCATATGGGGTGATACATGCATTCCACCACTGTTGTTGCTGCTGCCGCTACTGTTTATTGCTGCATTATTATTAGCAGCATCATGGTGGGTTATTGATGGATCCACTGGGCTAGACGACTGGCTGTATGCAAAACTCTGATATCCTGAGGATGCAACATTAGACAACTGGGAAATTGAAGTTTGCGAGCCTTTCATGTTTGTTTCAGTTTCTCCTGTGGAATTACGATCATTTTCCTCATGGCTCATGTCTAAAGGTTCCTCTGGATTTCCATTGGACACCATATGGCCATTTTGATGAATTTGTCCATGGCCATTCATTTGTGGGTGACCATTGAAAACTTGTCTATTGTTGAACCATGCAGTGTGATTATGGAAGTGGTGGTGATGACTGTGAACTGGAGAAGATGCATTCAGAGCTGGGCCAGGGGCTAGGTGACTGTAACTGTAGCTATGACCAATAGGATGGGCTTCTCTGGGCCTTCCATCAGGTTCTAAGGCAGAGAACAGAACATAGTCATCAGCTGTGTTAAGGTCGACTGCTGGCTTTCGAGCTGAGCCCATCAGATATGTATTTCTAGGTAAAGTGGAGGGGCGTGGAGTAGATGGTGTGTCTGGAGGAGGAGGCTGGAGATGATTTATTGGTGGTGGAACTACAGGCTTATAATCTTCACTGACGGTTGGATCATTGTATCGGAAAATGTTTCTCTGGAGACTCTGATAACCAAGTCTATCTTCCATTCTTCCACTCTCAGGGGGAGATGTTGGATCCGAGGATGGTGTTTCTGATGTACTATGAGATGACAGTCGTTGCACAATATTTATATTTGGTTGAGTTTGAGCAACACTTATCTCTCCCAGGATTTGACTAAGTTTATCCAAGTACCGTTGCTGAGATACACTGACGGTGGTTCTAGAAGTGGAGGTTGATAACTTTACTAAAGCCTCAGTAAGGAAGGTATGCAACAAGGACAACTCTTTGCCAGTGTCAATGTCTTTGTCATACTCTAGTGCTCTGTGATCATGGGATGCTGGACTTGAGATCTGCTTCAAAAATGATTTCATCTGAGCTTGCTCCAATTCAATAAATTCATTCATAAACTCCATGAAGTTTTCCTTGCCTTGGAATTTTGTGAAGTTTGCTAGTGTCTGAAGGGTTTTGGCAATAAGGGTGAGGTTTCTGGATGACCTTTCATCAGGGTACTCCTGTGTGATATTAAAAAGTGAAGGAGAGAGGATAGCAGGACACAGGAATCGTAAGAAAATAGATGCTGAAATCAGGTTGTCACTAAGGTTTTGCTTCCCAATACTTGCTAAACGTTCCCGATACATACAGAAACATTCTCGGAGTTCCAATGGAAAATATGGATGTGAATTAAGAATTCGGGACCAGGTCATCCGCACAATAGACAAGAGGTTTTCTTGCTGCTTTTGGACAGATATCTGTGGCACCTTCATTGGATCAACCTGCAATTATAGAAATAAAACATATAAAAGACTCGTTTCTAAACATCTACATATATTTTATGCAAGATGCTCATGTAGTACAGTACAGTACTGAACTAGATAATACTTTTCTGAATTGCACTTCAACTGTTCTGTGCCAAAACCAAGGTACAAAGTATATTTTGTCTTTCCCTTCTGCTAAGTGTTCCAAGAATATACCCAAATAGTTCAAAACTATAGGAAGGGCAAATTTTGGATACTATTTTATACTCCAAATTTAACCAAAGATGGTCTACGTTGCTCATGGCTTGGTATGCAAAGTTTAGTAATTTTAACAAGGAAAATAATATATACAGTAACTTGATTTCAAATGACAATCATTTTGAAAATATCTCATCCAATATTTCTCCAATCTAACATTGATATTAAGAACATAATGAAAATAATTTCCAAGAGTTAAGCAATTTATTCAGAATTTTAGAAATAAAATGACTTTAAAAAAATATACTGTACTTATTTTGTACACTAATCACGGTGGTTCTGCGATGGCTACAGCACACATTAATTGGAGTGATGTGTTGGCAAACAGAATAATTATTAATACAGACATGGTGGAGTAACACTTACCTCACAGTCAAGTCCAGCTTCTACAACTTTGTTGATGACCTGCCTTAATGTATCCAACAAGTACTTGCCACCTACGAGCTTCATGAACGCTTCCATGGATTTTGTTGCCAAGGAATTACCACGGAACAACAGATGAGAATCATCTGAAAGTCACAGAAATGAATGATTACTGTCGTACAAAATTCAAGCTACATTTTAAAATGAGCTTTACAGAGAACTAAATTTTTACAATGAAATGAAATCAATTTGTAACACTGTATAGTATAGCTGTCATAAACTACTGTACAGATGATTTACATAAATTAACTTACCTATTCTATCAATCTCCATCATGACAAGGTCGGACAAGAAATTCCGTGCAATGCCTTCTCTTTGCATTATATGGATCAGTGCAGTTGCAATGTCCTCTTTGGCTTTCACACTAATGACTGGTTCCAGCAACTCACATATCACACCATAGTTTGTCTTCACATACTGCAAAGAAACGAAGTTCATACAGCTGAGGATAAGACAGTGATGGTTTTGTTCAATTTAAAGATCTTTAAATAAATTTGTTAAGTGGATACTCTCCCAGACGTTTTAAAGATGGCATCATCTGACTGGGAACACACGTTTACTGGCGCAATGGAAATTTTGTCGGCATAAATAACAGTACAGTATATAAACACTTCTAAAAATTAGCTTCTGCATTGTAATGTATCATAACAAGAAAGTTAACTTACCTGGAGGAAATCTGTATACAGTTCTATTGGAAGGATATCAATTGACTGGAATTTGCACTTAATTCTGAGAGCTGCATTGTCTTTACTTGGTGCCCTGTTGTCATTTTGTACTTGGTACCACTTCTCAATATGACATCGACTTGTCACATTGGCCACGGGTATGTTTACTGTCCCAACCAGAAGATTCTTTTCCTGGAAATTTTTTATTTTATTAATTTTGTTATAGTAGACTTAAGAAATATATTTCATTTAGAATACCTTGCCTAAAACAATAGTTCCTGTCCCATCCTGCTATGTTGACAGCCATGATGTTGCTGTGGCTTAATGTGATCAGTGCAACAATCCGCTAGTTTTCATCCATTAATCAAGTTGCTAAGTAAGCTTCTTTTCACAAAATAACATATAGGTAACTAGAATTTAAGTACTGTACAGTAAATAAGTCCTAATCATGGTCCTTAAATTTGTCAAGCTTCTTTATAAAAGGTTATGTCCTAAATAGGGTGAAATTTTTGGATCAGACTACAAGCGAAGTTTGACGAGGTGGTGGTACAGGAATGTAATTTTCCCGAAAGCTAGAATGTGCCTGTGCATTTCTATCACTTACAAAGATTAACAATTAACTCATGTACTACAAATTGCTCAAATATATCCAGCTAATTATTCAGATATAACACGGCTTAAATCTTACCTTCTTCCTCTTCTTCTCTCCTTCTCGGTATAGAGCAACACTAATATTCTCAACAGAAGGTAGATTATTAAACTCAAACTGCTCTCCCCAAAAACACATCTCGCTCTTCTGTTTGCTAGACGTACGGGCAAAGAGGGAGGCATCGAGGAGCAGTTCACAGAAGTACCTGAAGGAGAGACAGTACAGAATGATAAAACTAAAGTACAGGAACTCCTCGACCTACGACCACCCGAACATACGACTGTTCCCAGTCGTACCAAAATTTTGTCAAATTACGTATTTTCGAGTCCCAACGTCAGTGATTGAGCTGTGTACTGACAAAATTTTCGTTTGTAATTCACTTTAAAATGGCTGGCAAGCTTAAAAGTGAGTTTTGTGGTGCTGAGAAGAAAAAGAGACACCCATTTTAGATTTTCTATGTATTATTTAAGCATTTTCGACTTACGACCTGGATTTGGGTCCCCAACCCCGTCGTAAGTCGGGGAGGAGCTGTAGTTAAAATCCTCGTCTATACTGAACAACCACGGGGACATAATACATCCCTGTTTAACACCCACATATATTTGAAATGTTTCATTTTTCTCATTTACTCTTACTGTTGTCCTACTGTTCTCAAAGAATACTTTTACTGCATTTAACAGCCTTCCTCCCACCCCATACACTTGTACATAATACCTCCCACAATGTTTATCTGTTCACCCCTATTATATACCTTTTACAAATCTACTATAAAATATTAAAACCATCTGTAAGTAATAAAAAACAACCAAAATATTATCAAAACCAAGAAAACGGCATGGATTAAAAACAAAATTGTTTGGTTTAAGCCAATGGTTTACATCACTCAACCCTGCTTCAAAATAAATATGAAAGTGGAGTAACTACAGAATGTACACTTAAATTACCCAGTTAATAGTAACAAAAGGCAAGTTTCTTAAAATAATCAATGAACAGTAATGCGAGTGTTGATTGATGCCAGAAATAAAACCTATAGTAAAAGGTAAAAATTGAATTAAAACAGAGGTTTTTAATGTTCACTGTTATCTTCAATTATTGGTGTATGAATAAGAGGTAGCAACCCACTCATGAATTCACTAATGAAGACTATTCCAGTAGATAAAGAAACTGCAGTGTTTTAATAAAGTTATTTCATTACTGCATTTGATTTCCATACCATATATTTCTTAAACCTACAATAAGAAATGGTGGATCTTACCTCTTCTTATTGCCAACACCCTTTGCTTCCAGGATGAATATTTTGAGTGAGTTCTCTGTTCTCCGTATACTGTCAAAGTTAGGATTGACAGCTTTGCGGAGGGAGTCTACCCATCTGTCTCTTTCATCTGCAGTTCTGCAGCTGAAGTAACGGATGCCTGTTGGGGAGGTCACCTGGAGGGGTACACAGTGTTGTTAATACAGTCCAGAATATCTTAGAAACTCATATGAACTGTACTATGGTAATGAATTGTACAAATAAACTGCATCCACCAAGCATAAGAGCAACAAATACACGATGCTATACTGTACATGTTTGTGACCTTAATTCCTTAACCCTTTACACCCTCCTTATGTAACTTTAAATGAAAAAGGTAGATTAAATTACACTATCTTAACAGTACTGCATACATATTTATTAAATATACAGGTACTAAGAAATGCTGGGAAAAAGTCGCCACAATACTTTAATTATTGACAATGCTAACGAGACTAACTGGACAACCACGACTCACCTGGAAGCAATGCTCCTGGCCCAGAATACTGGCATGCAGTGGTTTGATGGTCACCTCGCCTGCGGGAGCAAAAAATCAGCTTATGGGCGGCAGTACTGTATATACAGGGTATTCTTCATTCACTTAATATTAAATGTGCTATAAATTACAGTGAAAAAAAAATTAATATTTTGATTTTGATTAAAGATGAGCCGATACCGATACCCATGCTAAAGCTGACGCCGATAATTTCTAGTAAGCTATCTATCTAATTCCCAACATTTAGAGGATTCACCCGTACTGGACAGGGGCCGGATACTCAAAACACCTCATAAGTTACGTTTTTCAGCATGATACAGTACCATATATTGTGGAAGCCTTACACTACCATAAATTTAGCAAACTCAAAATTTAATTATGGTTCCGTAAGCCTTCCGTAAGTTCTCGTAACTCTAGTGTTTACCCTGTAAATTAAGTTCTCTTGTCGGACGGTAGATGTCAGTGCAGATGCTAGTTGGCCAATCAACGCTCAGTTAACAAAATCATCAACCAATCACAAGAGAAGGAGAAATCAGCTCAGAGCGACGCACGTAATATTATTTTGTAAACATGGAAGGACTACCAGCCAAGAAGAGACGACCTAATTTTAGTGAGATGGGGGATATATTTCTGGGTTCGAGAGATGATGTAATGGGCAATTGCAGGAACTACCGAGAAAATTTTTCCATTACCATAAACATTCTGGGGATGAGGGATATTTTCTTGATTTGTGATAACTGTCTCGTTAACGGGAAAACACTCATTCATTCACGGTAGTGCTCTTCACCAATTGTTCTGGCTAACAGAGATCTCACAGTATTTGGTGTTTTACCCCACTAGAATTTAGGTAAATAATCCCTTGCATAATGTTGGCCTGTGACAAGACACATAAGCTATACTAAGATAGCCTTATTCTGGGCAAATTCAAATAAATTGGTTATTGATAGCATAGCCTTGCCTAACCTAAATGACAAATCACTTCTCTTAAATTACTCATTTAGCCTAGACCCTGGTGTTTTCCTTTCAATGTTGGGAACATTTGGTCTGAATTGTCTTCAAGTTCATACAAAAAACAACAATTTAAAACCTGAAAATATATCGGATTAGCCGTAAATTTTCTTAAATTAATACTCTACCTATGATAATGTTCAAGGAAAGTCTGGAACTAGGCCTAAGGTAGCTGCTAGACTAAGTGTCTCACTGACGGCCTGACGCTCACCTAAAAACCATGTACACCTTCTCTAACCTAACATACCATAACATAACATAACCAAACCTATCTATCTAACCTATACCCTATTAGTATAATTTCTTATTTAAATAATCCCCATGTTCTAACTAAATTAAGTAGGCCCCATGTTTAAACATTTATTTGCCTAAGATTGAAAAAGCAGTTATATAGGCACCTATTAATCAAGTTAATTGCAATCCCTAATTTACATCCAATATCATTTAATTTTGGCTAGCCTATGGAAATTTATAGCCTTTCATGTTATCATAAGCCATATACATAAGAAAATAGGCTAAGGCTATTGGTTGAATATTAGAAAAACAAGGCGAAGTCTTGGCAGGAATGTTCACTTGACCTCATATTTGGCTTTCATTACTGAGGGATATTTACGGCTATACAACATTAATAAGTTCTATCTGCAAGTTTACTCAGTCATATAACATATTTTTACCCTAAGTGTGAACAATACAAACCTTCTATTTTGGTAAGAAATACTTTATAATGTGTAAGACGACAAAAGATGCGTCTCTTCCTGCAGGTCTATCTACTAACCTAGATGTGAATCATTGCTTAGTGCCAGTCTCAATTTTCCTTTGTTAATTTAACTTATTAATTTAGACTCTTGTTCATTACTTATATACTGTACTTGCCTAGTTATTAAAACTCGTCCTTAGCTAAAGTATTTGTTGACGACTGTCCGCACGTGTGGGCTGTACAGTTGCCAACTCGTGATTAATGTATTATGTACAGTACAGTAGTGTTTATGTTGTGGTCTAGAAGTTAGAACTTTAATATTGTGACTATTGTCGAATCTTGACCCTCTAGTCTTTAAAGTTTATTACGACTTCCTTGTTATTATCATTATTCAGTATTGTATATTTAAAAATTTAATTATCCCAATTTTAAAGACGCTAAGTTGTTTCTCAAATTCTTGTATCAATATTCTAGTTCTAAACTGAAGAAAGGAAATTATTAAAACCATTATGTGAATTTTACTCACACTAAAAGTATTGATGTTATTAATATAGCCATGTCGGTCTGTACAGTTACTACAACAGATACATTATAATTTTTAATTTAATTATTTTTTTTATTATTCAAATTTTAAATTATCGTATTTTTAGATATTTGGTAAAAGTATCGGCTGGTATAGGCCCATTTTCACCTTCAAAATGAGCCGATACAAATATCAAAAAGGTTATTTTAACTTTGGCTGGAGAATGACTGAAGATTAAACAGATCTGTATTTACTTACCAGCAGCCAGGTCGAGTGTGTTCATCATGTTGTGACTAGATAAGAGGGATTCGTGTGACCGTGAGGACCTGAGGCGCGCTGTAGAGCCCAAGCTGAGGGGGTCAGGCTCCAGCAGGCCACCCACGCCTCCGCGACCACCTCGCTTGGTCCGCTCTAACTTGGTCACTGACTTGGTCCTCTTCAGCGGGTTACTCTTAAATGACCTCTTGCTGAAGAAGTTCTGTAACCAAGAAATATCTCCCTTAGTTCATATTGTATATATACTTCACTAACTAAAACACCAGACTTTCTACATAACACAACACATACGGCCGCGATGTCTTAAGGCCAGTAATACAGTCCACATGTATTCAGTAAGATGAGTTAATGTGATATGTAAGCAAGCGAGTGTGTCCCCGGCGGCCATTACCAGACGGTTGCCGCGGGACAGGATGTTGAGGTTAAGCCGCATGCGGTACGCAAGGTGGCATTCAACCACGTCGCCGCCACACTACTGGAATCACTTGCATAACTTATACCTGCCACCATAACAGAAACGGAGGCTGCTCAGCCCTTACACTGAGGACTTACACTAGTGTAACCTCCGAGTACCACATAACTGAACAAACCTGAGGCAACTGAAACTTAACACACACTAGCTATCTACTGTACACGTAAGTGCTTGAGCGACAAAGTTGTAACAAAGACGCGGATGTGGTCAGGAAACATTGTTGTATAGCCCCGAGCGTCATAATCGGAGGCTCAATAGGACACCCACCGGAAGGTCATTAAACAGAGACCCATCAGTTCACCATAGCTCGTGCCCTCCATTACCCCGCAGACGCGACAGTAGCAGATGGTTGTGAAGGTTATACCAGGGCGGGTTATGGAGCGCTTCCCTCGCCCGGGGCACCTCTGCTACCCTCCAACCTTGGTCCACTGAGCCACCCCCACCTACGTACACTACACACCATCAAATCTCTTCTTTTACGCCTAGAAACCAATCCAGTTCATCAGCTCCATTTCTAAGTCTTGACTAACCTTGTCACCATTATAGCTGACCTTTTCTTTACAAAACTTAATTTCCCGATGCGTTCTAAAACAAGTTAAACAGCACGTTACGGCATGGTGTTTCTTGCAAGAAGCTGTTATTACAAGCGCGCGTGCGTCACTCGGAAGGAAGTGTCGTGGCTAACAACCGCATCCGCAGGGGTCCAGGGCACACCTCAGTCCTGTTCAGGTGGTATTTTCCCCTGGACTGGCCCACCGCATTTATAAATACTTCTTACTCCCACTCGCCCCTCGTCAACAAAGATATCTGATAAAACGGTCAACGAACCTAAATATTGTATACACGAGACTACAACGAACAAGAACACCGAATTATTGCTTTACTCAGTATAAATTGGCTGCATCTATCTTAAACCCGGGCCACACTAAATAAAATTTCTCAATCACTCCAAGGGCCGCACCAACACATGGTCAGGGCCGCTGCCATACAGTATATACACCGTAACTGATAAAACCTACGTACTGACTGACATACAAACGGTATTCCTGTACTACTACGGAATAAATGTAACGCAATAACGTATTAAAAGAACCTTTGAAATTGGTTCTAGGAAGGTTTGATAAAGCGACCAAACTCCCACACAAAATTACAAGACTAATATTATTCAAACACGGACAGACGCACCTACACTAGGACATAACCCGCACAAGATGATTTCCCATTGGACTAAATCCTACCGCTGAAATAATAAAAGTTCAACCAATTCCACTAACAAAAGACTTTTAATGTTCGTGATGATACACTAGGCTACGTGATTAAATACTGTACTGGGATACAAAACAAATGGAAACATTACGTATGAGTCACACTTTTTACATTGACATTGCAGCTCGAACACTATTACCTTACTAATTATTTTTGTCTTTGAGTAAAATATCACCATTGATATTCCCAATTAGAAACATGAAAAGCACAGAACAATACCTAGTTACCACGACTAAATATACCGCAATATCTGGCACTTGGAAGGTTTAGTACAACGCATGTACTAAAAACAAAACACAATTCAAGAATTCAGAAAAAAATAACTGAATTGAGAGATGCGTACTAAGACTGGTGTCAAACTCAAAACTTTCGAGGGCCAATTCTTATTTTAGTTACCCTCTTCAGGGCCAACAAGTGCTATATCACATATTTGCAGGATTAAAGTTTACAGCTTCACACATTGCCTTACCTGGCTTACCAGGAATAGCTCATTTGGGTTTGTCTGATCTTAAGTATGTAAAATTCATTTTATTAAATAAATAAGGTTATATCTTTTTCATAATTTCACGGGATGATAAATTTTACCGTCACCCCGCGGGCCACACCTGACCATCCCAAGGGCCACATTTGGCCCGAGGGCCATGAGTTTGACACCCCTGTCTTACACCTTACAAAATTTTTGACCAAAATATACTTTTTTCTCAGAATTGAAATTTAAGGGGTTTAACTAATTAAGTACTTTCAGAATAACACACAAACCCTAAATCACACCTTGGAAACCCATAGTTGATGAGTAATTAGCATTGAAAAATGTCTAATATATTTCAAGGGTCATTTTGGCCACTAATTACTCTCCAATCGAATCGTGGACCACATATTCATAATCAGCAAGCTCAGGAGTACCCATACTGTGATTTTCAGCTAAATCTAATTTTTGACCTAAAACCACCAAAAATATAAGTCTTACAGTAACTAAGAGGTCCAAGAAATGGCACAACAAAGGTTCCTTCGGCGCGCACAGCCGCACACACACACACACACACACTACCCAGTCCCGGCGTAGTGGCAAGGCTGGACAAAAACCGACTTGACTGGCAGGTCCTGTGTTGACGTAACAAAGGCTTCCTCTGACGACTCAAATCCAGACAATAACCCCAATTTCCTACGAGTCTTTCAAACCCGTTGTGGACTATTTCAATGGAGATCGGAAGTAGAGAGATCTCAGTCAACCATATCCCTTCCGACAGTGACAAAGAACGCGGACAGTTCTCAAGACCACACACACACACACACACCAAAATCAGAGTATGAACAGATCCCGCAGGAATCTTCCGCCTAAAAAGAGCAGCCAGCCGATCTCAGGAGCTCACTCTACAACTAAGCTTCCTGTACGTCTCCCTGATCACCTAGACTGTTACTATTTGCAGGCCAACATAACATTCGCAAGAGCAATATTACTAGGTGCGTGGGAGATATTACTGAGATACAGGTGTGCTGGAAAGACGTTATATAAGCAAGGTAGAAGAACACAGGTATCCTAGTGTAAGAGTCCTACAACAAAGATATCCAGATGTGAGGAAGTGGTAGGATGCGGTGAGATAGAAGGCGGCTTTTCTTACTAACGTATCCGGTCTTCTCCCTCCACCTAACGTAACCCCTTGTTTACCGGTGGTTAGGTCTTCTAAACGCGTAATACAAAGGGGGTGGCTGGGTCTGGGAAATGCGTGTATGAGTGTGTGTTAATATTAGCAGTTTTGTCAGTGTGTGTGGGTGTGTGTGTGTGTGTGTGTGGGTGTGTTATCTTACCCGTGAGAACATGTCAAGAGGTCAGAAATTTCATACCTCCCAAATAAAAAAAATGTAAACCAAGGAACTATTACCAACAGGTCCCACACACAATGACTCCACTTTACAACACAGCCTTGACACCTTGACCAGCAGTGGGTGACGCGGCGTATCAACCCAAAACGGTCTTACTGCTGCAACCGTTAGCCTACAAACCGCTTCCACCAGCACTACCCAGCCGGCCACACCACAAACATAAACACACACACACCACGCCAGCCTCCATCACGACTGGTAATCCCACTCAGATTAAACCTTAAACCCTCCCGCATCGTTTGGAAGTAAATGAGGTTACGTGAGGCATGTCGGGTGGTGGTGGTAATAAGCGCAGGATGACCGGGGCTAAGGAGGAACACTGAATCACTGATGATCATGTAGAAGCCAGAGAGCGCGGGAGCGGATTATTATTATTATTTTTTTTTTGAGGGAGAGGAAAAAATACCAGCTTCCCATCACCAATAACAAATACGCTTTTGTTCTACGATGCAAACGAGTTTATCGGGTTAGGGCTTAAAAATCACTTGTCCGGTACGTTGTCAGATTTTTTATTAGGACAATGCCCTCTCCCTTTTCCCATCCCCCCAGCGCCCTCTCTTCCGTTCCAGGTACCGTGGAATGGAAAACTTTAATGCATCTTGTACTTAAACGTTATTCCACCCCTCCCCCTTCCTCTACACACACCCACACACACACACTACATCCTTGACCACCGAAGGGTCAACCAGGTCAACCAAGCCAGGTCAACCCATACCAACTCCCTCCCCTGAACCCTCCTCCCCACCGGAATATCAACAAGTTCTCGCCAGAAGTTACAATTTCATTTAGGAAACGAATGGAACCAGTGTTAACAGAGGTGAACAGTGGTGAACAGTGGGTAAGTCAGTGAGAACAACTCAACAGTAACAGTCGTATCCAACTTAAAACCTTCACAGTGAGGTCCCAGGTACCCAGTGATAACGGCCCGTGAGACCCAACAACAACCAGCGATGTGTTAATCCGTCTACGATAGGAAGGACTGGGACCACACCTCACTCATATAACACCATCTGTGAGGGAATTACTACACCACGTCAGGTCCTTCATAACACCATCTGTGAGGGAGCTACTACACCACGTGAGGTCCCTCCTAACACTATCTGGGAGGGAGTTACTACACTACATGTTTGCTGTTCAACACCTACATTAATCTGTATGTTCACTGTATGTTCCTTTACCTTTCTCTAATGAAGGCTTTTGTTAAACCACCAATGTATATTATAAGTCATTTATGTCCAATGTATATTTTCAGTATTTATTTAATAAACATTAATTATTATTATTATTATTATTATTATCAGTTAACATAATTCACACTTCTTTTTTGACATATCTCTAGAATTCAACCCGCGACAGTGAGATGATTTTATAAAGGAATTTCAAAGACCCTAAAGATTACATTAGTATTTATCTCAGCTTTTATGAACACAAAAACAACAACACTCAACTATGATATTCACAATAACATACCACACTGTCCACTGCTAAACTGATACACTGTACAGCTTATTGGTCCGTTCCTGCTATAATCAAAGCTTGTCATTCAAGATAGGATTTTGTCTATTTGAGGAAGCTTACTTATGCACGTGAGGTTGCGGGTTACTTAGCGGCACGGACCAATGTGCGTTTTGCTTACACAATTAACACAAAGGACGTTTATTTTTGTTAGATAATTAAAGTGACGGTGTGTGGGATATATTTTGTTGTGATAAATTATTTCTTGAATGATTTAATAACAGAGATTTTAACCTTCAGTAATACCGTTAATATATTTCCAACAGAAAGAAAAGTGCAACCAACCAAATCACTGAACTAGGTATATGAAAATTAGTTCGTACAAGAGTTTCACAACACGTTACCGAATTCCCGTAGCTGTAGACAAAGTCATTTTCGCCCCAGTGGAGGTGTTCCTCACTCCGGCTGAATATCTCCATTCCTCATAAAATCACCGTAACTCACTTCACTTATATATTAAATCGTAAGTCTGTTGTTGATTCGCTATGTCACTTTGGGTTACAGCTGTACAGACTTGGTGGTGAATGTTGCTTGATAATGTAACTTGGTGAGAAGCGAGACGGTGGTTACAGCTGCAGGGTCCAGACAGCAGCAGTAGGGGCGGCCGGAGTCTTGCCAGAGCCGTGTTGCACTTGGCTGTATAAACACTATTACAGCGGGTGCGGGGCAAGGCTTGACCAACTTGTAGTGGCCGTCACCCCTGTACTGTGGGTTAACCCTAACGCGCATGGCCGGATGGGCCGGATATGGTGTGTAGTTCTCATTACTATCTGGTGTTCTGAATTCCACGACTACCACACCACCTCCGTATGTAAACTGTCCTCTCCTCCACCCATCTAGCACAATCACATATACTACTTGTATTAGTTTTACAGCAGCAACAGGACCCTCGTTATGGGGTCATCGTTGTGTGTGTGGTCATAATTGTAGGGAGGAGTGACGGGGGAGCCAGGGTGAGCACCTTGGGGAACGGAAATACTTTACAGCGTAGTTAAAGACCTGACTCCACCAGACGCCCTCGTTGGTAACCGTTACATGAGCTCCTTCACCAAATTCAATACAAAACTGTTGACATAATAATCACTTTGATGCCTGACTAGGTAGACCCCGTCATGGGTCTACACTTACCGGGGCAGCCGAGAGGCGCCGTGTGACCGACCAACACTGAAGGGGAACAACGCAGTGTGGTGTGTCCCAGGCTTACCCCACTCTCACGAGACTCTGGTGATATCATGGGTCACACACACACACACACACACACACACACACACACGACGCCGAGTGTAAGTATACTACTACACACACACACACACACACACACACACACACACACACACACACACACAAGACGCCGAGTGTAAGTATACTAACACTACACACACAACAGGTTTGGGTTGATTAGTCTATCAAAATTAATTAACCACCAAGATGAAATAAATAATTTGACAAGTTATTTTCAAGGAACTCTTTGAAGACGAATTTCAGATTAAGTTCACTTCACTCTGATCCTCCGGCTCACTATACTTTCTGTATACAACTGGTAGTTTATACAGTACAGAAGAATTTGTTGAATATGTTAAAGGTCTGCAACAGATGAGGCGGGTAGGGGCGGGATGGAGTCAGAAGAGGCGGGTTGGGAGCCACTCGCGGCCCGTGCACAGTACTGGGCCACATCCGGCTGTCGGTTACCGGAAAGCAAATGAAAGTACGGAAGCTAAAGAGGAAAGTAACCTTTACCAACACGACCGGAAAGGTCATTCTAACTTAAAGTGGATATGGCTAGTGGCTGTACACCGCAGTCAGGTTGTAAGCTGCGTACATATTGATGGTCACGAGCCCCACACACACCTGGCTACAAGACCTCACTAAAATTAGAAAAACACAAAGCTTTATGATGGCGTAGCTTACCCTGTAACACATATTGACTAATGTGAGAAGCGCCAGGTACACTCAGGTAAGACTGTGTACGGCGGTAACGAGGGAGGAGTCACTACCATTCAGAAGGTGATCAGAAGCGATACTACACCCCCAAGCACAACCTACCCACCCTCGTCACCTATCTCCTTGATCCTCACACCAGTAAAAAACCCGATAAGATATTTCCCAGGCTGAGGAGCGACGGTATAACCAGCACCTAATCTAATCTAACCAGCACTTAACATTCAAGACCCTCACACCTTATAGCCAACCATCACCACCTCTCCTCTCCTCTTCCTCTCCTCTTCCTCTCCTCTTCCTCTCCTCTCCCCTCCTTTCCTTTCAGATTCTCTCCACCTCTTATCTCTGGGTCTGACTCACTCAGATGTCAGTACTCTTATCTACTGGTGATAACATTTACGATGTACAATGTGCCAACTTTTCCAGTAATGGGATAAAATTCTTCCTTTTTTTTCAGACAGGGCAACGGCGGATTAATCACACACACACACACACACACACACACCCACCTAAGTAAACAATAAACAAAGTGTGTGAAGTTTATCTTTACGTGACAAAACCGCTTCTTCCTTCCTCGCCGCCCAATTGTCCTGTACCAGCTTATCTGCACTACCACTAACTCGCTTACGAAACAGGCTACTGGTGTAAGACCCGGTACCTGTGGGGTGTGGCGACGGCGGCACAGACGTAGTGAGTGAAAGTGACAGGTAAAAAAAGAGAGATTGACAGGTAAAAACAGACACTGACAGGTAAGAGATATTGTCAGGTAAAAAAAGAGACATTGCCAGGTAAAAATAACCGTAGGAAGATGGTGGCAATTTACAATGAAGGCAAAATTTTGCTATTACCAACACACACACACACATAACTTACCACTAGTCTGTTGGGCGTGGAATCCGCCGGGCGCGCTCCCAGTATAGGCGTGGCTGGAGCAGACCCACGCCTGTCCGAACCACACGCCTTCTCATATGACGTATCTGAAGAAGAAAAACAAACATACATATTAGCAACATTCCTCACAACCAATAATATAACTCGTATATAACATTAAACATTTACAACATTATTCAATAAACACTACAGCACATTATTCGTTATGTTTATGAGTTTTATGCCATTTACCTATCAAAATAAAGTACAGGTAATCTTAATAATTAACATTAATCACAGGTAAACAACATATATTGATTTAAGTAAAATCTTACCTTTATATGACGTCAAATCCGCTATTGACTATTATAAAATTATATATAAGTAGTGTTATATCTTTCTTCCATTATACCAACACAAACTTCTAGCTTACCTGCACAAACACCTACAAACAGTAATTACCTCCTATCTTACCTGGATAAATAAATACGAACACGTAACACACACACACCTAGCTTACCTGTATAAACAAATTAATTAATACCTATCTTACCTGTACAAACACACAACACACCTGACCTCTCGTAAACAACAAAACACACATACCTATTAACTTCACAAATCACCATAACAAACATAATTCACCATCACTATGACTCATTACAGAAACCCCTCACCTGTCCCGTTACATATTAATCATCCGGGCGGTGCAACAGGTAAGGCGGTATCCCCTCCCCTCCCCTCCCCCCTCCAGGTAGCTGCAACCAAAAGTAGGTGTAGCCACTCTTCCCAATTATCGAGGTGACAAACATATTCTAGCATCGACCTTATATAACGGTGTGTTCAGTATAGTGGGCGAGTGACTTCAAGGTGTGCCATCGGTGAATGTGGGTCGTTTGGTTAGGTTAGGTCAGTCCAAGCACAAGAAAGTGACCGGAAATGCTAAGTCACTTTCCTAAGACAACAACAAATAGATGTAGCCAGGAATCCCCCACCAAGATTGACGTCACACAGCAAGAAAAGTCTCCCAGCTGCGTTGAGTCGTGTGTGTGTGTGTGTGTGTGTGTGTGTGTGTGTGTGTGTGTGTGTGTGTGTGTGTAACCTAGAACAATTAATTTAATACACGTAAATAAAAAAATATGTAACTAAAAACTCCTAGCGTTCATAAGTATCATTTCAAATATTTAACAACTCATTCTCTACAAAGTAACATCAACAAGACCCTTTGTTTTATAAGAGTAACCAAAGTAGGTGAGCCTTGTGTACCTTTCTCTGTCGACCAATAGAAACGTAAACTTCTTCCTCAGGTGAACTTAATTAATCTTTATATTATTATTATTATTTTATTTTATTTCCGAAGATGGGGGGGGGGTGGGGGGAGAGGGATGAGTGGGTATAGAACTCGTTTCCTGTCCTATGGGTAGGTGGTTCGCATCCAGTTGAGGGAGTATGCTGGTACCTTACCTAATCTAATCTAGCCTAGCCTAGCCAATAAGCTCATGAAATTTATAAATACTACGTTGTATTTTTTTTGTTGCCTGAGTGAAAATAATATCAGTATAAATGTTCATCCCCTTGAGAATAGCTGGTTGTTAGTCTGTCTGTGTCGAGGAGGGCGGGTGGGCGTCTACAGCACTATTGACCGACCACTCACACCTCCACATGCACCTTGCCGCTTTGCAAACAACCAGTAGAGCAATTACCTGGCCACAATTAACTCACTCTAACGTGGAAACTTAATTAAACTTACAACCCAAAATATTTACCAAGGTTTAAATTTATCGCTTTGAAACACGAGCTAAACTTCTACATACAGTATATAAAATTCACGTCAATATTTATCTTCAGGGTCCCTCGATGTTATTGACTGCAGCTGGGAAATAACTTGAGCATATTTACAAGCAACCTAACTCGGCAATACAGTCGCGGGATATTGAGAAATATTCCCCGTCGCTGAAATGATATATGAAGTCAATAAATCTGACCCGAGGACTTAGCCAGGCGCACGGGGCTGTCACAGAGGAAGCGGTGTTCTCAAGGTCGCAGGAGCTAGCTGGTGGCTTGGCTGGCTGGCTTGGCTGGCTGGCTGGCTTGCTTACCCCGTGTGTATCGCCCCCCCTGCACCCGTGTATACACCACCACAGACGTCTCTACCTGGCCCACCCCGCGTGTGTCGTCCCCCTGCATCAACCTAGCTGGCTGTGTGATGAGGCAGGGAGGGAGGACGAGCAAAAGACTCCTGACAACACAAACACACACTCCCCTACCATCTATCCCCCTCCAGTGTACAGATTCCCCCCCTCCTCCTGCTGTCAGCCACATCACTAGTGCTTATAAACACACGGGGGGAGGGGGAGGGCCGGGGAGAAGGCGCCGAGAAACGTCAGGGGGTCCCCGTGGCTTGGTTAGGTCCAGCATAATGTGACACCTACCGGCTACCTGGAGCTGGTGGTGCTATTTAAGGACAGTGACACCAGGGGAGAGGAAGAGAGATGAGGGAAGAAGACGTAGAAAAAAATAAAGATAACGAGGAAATAAGGATAAGTGAGGTAATCCTGGGGTTAAAGATATGAGAGGTAGATGTAGTGAAGGGGGGAGAGGGTGGTTGAGGTGTAGGACGGTAAGGGGTCACACAGAGAGTCCTTTGTATCATACTATTGCAGGCTGGAGCTGGTCCTAAGTCGCGACACACACACACACACACACACACACACACACACACACACACACACACACACACACACACACACACACACACACACACACATACATCAATATTTAAAGAGATGAAATAATCCACAACTCTTATGTGTATTTACAGTTAAGTGGTCTATTCCTCGTAAAACCCACCAATGTTAGAGAGTGGGTGATGAAGCAGTTGAGGTCTGTACCTTACCCGAGGACCAGTTAACCATCCACACACACACACACACACCTACCTAACCCCCCCGCCAAACACACCGTCATCCCTCACTCAACTCCACACCAACTCCCACGAAAGAATACCCCCGCCATGTCAAAAAGCCCGTCCACTTCCTACAAACTCTTCAATCTGTCGGAATAAAGTCACCAAAACACACACACACACACACACACACACACACACAGTAAGAGCGTAAACATTAACCTGATTGGATTCTGATCTTGAGGGAAGACATTGTCGCGCCTCTTGACGTCTCACTTGGTACACTGAGGCGGCGGCTCCTCCTCCTCCTTTACCTTCCCAGTGCTCAGGTTAAAGTCTAGTGAACCGACCCCTAAATCAGGAACCGGGAACCTAAAGAAGGAAATTGGGAGCCTAAACCAAGAACCGGGACCTTAAACCATGAACCAGGACCCCTAAACCTAGAACCGGGACCCCTAAACAATGAACCAGGACCCCTAAACCAGGAACCAGGACCCGTAAACCAGGAACCGGGACCCCTAAACCAGGACCCTAAAATCAGGAACCGGGACCCTTAAATCAGGAACCGGGACCCCTAAACCATGAACCAGGACCCATAAACCAAGAACCGGGACCCTTAAATCAGGAACCCATCTCCAGGTTCAGAATCAACAGACAAATATTTATAAGAGAATCAAAACCCATAAAGGGGCTCAGAAAACAAATGAAAATCGTAACTCTACTCATCAAAGACGATCCAATCCCCTAACCGAGTGATTTAAGACTAAGAATACGACACACAGACCAATACTTATTTACTAGTTACTTAGTAGACCGCTTTAAAGGTTTACATTAGTTACCCCTTTTAAAATAATATATGTATCAGTTTTCTTTTATAACGTGGCTCTGTGAATTCCTCCTCCTCCTTCATTCGTTCTTCTCTCCCTCACCCTCTTCCTATTTATTTCGTCGCTTTATCTTCCTATTTCTCCCCCTTCTTTCTCTCTCCCTATCCCTCCTCCTTATCTCCCCCTTCCTTCCCTCTATTCTCATTCTTCTCTCTCTACCCCCCCTTCCTCTTCTTCGTTTCCCTCTAACCTAACCTGACCTTTAATCAGGTCAAATAGGGTAGGGTGCCTAATTTTCATGTCATCCAATTATATTTAAAATGACTCAGGTAAATTACATTGGAGTTTAATTATGATCTCTCTCTCTCTCTCTCTCTCTCTCTACAAGAATACTATTTTATCAAAGACTCAGAAAGCCAATCTACCTTAAACTCATAGAAATTAATCATCTGACTATAAACGACTCATATCCCGAATACTAACTGACTCTAAATGACTCACGAAGGCTAGGAAGAACACCTGGTTATGTGAGTCACTCCCTACAAAAAAAATATTAACTGGTCTTTGGAACGATTTCTCCTCACTTAAACTGGAGGCTATATAGGGAGGGGGTGGGGGGAGGGGGTGGTGGTGGTTAGTGTTAGTGGTTGGTGATCATAAGTGGTAAATGATGGTTGCCAGTTAAGGGGTGATGGTGGTAGATGGTGGTAGTGGTGGTTATGGATAGTAGTAGTAGTGGTTGTTGTGGTAGATGGTGGTGGTGGTGGTGGCTAGGTTACTTACACAATGGTACTCACTAATTAATTTATATACCTTCTCTCGGTACCTTTCAACGTTCTCCTTCCCCCTAGGTAGGTCCTCCCCCGGGGTAGGTCCTAAAAGTCCCCATGGGTGAGTTTTGAGAGAGAATAACCCCAGGGATTCGCCGAGGGGAGGGAGGAGGAGGGGTGGTAGAGTGAGTGAGTGAGTGAGTGAGTGTGTGTGTAATAAATATGGCCCAGTGGGTTAAGACGCCAGAATTTGACACCTCGTAAGTAACAAATTGAGAATCCCATCCACGGACCATAATACTATCTTATATTTCTTCACTCGTTGGATCAATGGATCATCCAACTTGAACCTCCCTGGGAATATCTACTGAAACGCCCCCCCGAAATCCTCTTCCCCGTCGCCCGTTTGTCAATAGCGAGTCTCAGGGCACAGCAGCGTTCAGAATGATGTGTCGTAACAGCAAAACACCAGATGCATTATACCACTGTAAGAAGACTGTGTGAACTACCATGTGTTGCCACCATCCCTAATACCTGCTCTCTCCTCTCCTCGTCTTGCCTCTTCTCTCCTCACCTTGCCTCTTCTCTCCTCACCTTGCCTCTTC